AAAAAAAAAAAGAACACAAGGAGGCCTCCCACCAGCCAACTAACACAGTCACTGTTGATCTAAAGAGCTTTTTCACTCACCAGATCCAAAAAGATTGGTGGCAGGAAGAGCAGGGGATGTAGCACAGGAGGACAGCGTCTGCCAAGCCACAATCCTGCACTTCACTGTGTGAGACAGAAGGAAACACGTCCACAGCCTCGCCCTTCAGCCCTTGCCCTGGAAGGACGCTGCCACTCCACGTGTATTTATACAACAGGAAAGTGAAACTGCCTCTGACCAGAACATTTCTGGTCAATAAAGCATTTCCAGGAAAGATAAAAATAGAAAGCCTTCTGTAACTTCAAGCTGCTCAGAGCTTGAGAGAATGTCAGACAGCTGCATCCTACTTCCTTACAACCTGTGGGAGGTGACCTCACCAGGATACCCAGGAGGTGGGTTCTTAGAGCCAGAGGGGAACTGGGGACAAATGGGTAAGTTTCCAATACTTTCAGTGAAAGGATTTCTTAGCAGCAAAAGAGAAGATTCCAACGCCTTTGGATCATCATGCCTTTTCCCTCTAGGTGCTGTGCTGCTGTGAACCCTGGGCAACAATGGCTCTGGCACATCACTGGGGTCTGGGCTCCCATGGGACCACACAATCAGATGCTTGACCATGTACTGTGGGCAGCAGCACACACTGCCGGGGGCAATCAGGTAAGACAGCAAGGGAAGAAGAGAGAGTGAATGGAGGGGCCTGGGGTTGATGTCTCCTCCACAGATGCTGTCCCAGGGCTGTGCACAGCCTGGCTCTTGGCAGCGGTGTTCAGTTAGGCTTGGTCTTAGGGGACACTGTGGACCTGCAGCTCTCAGGCCCCTATTCCCAGGGCAGCTGCAGACACAAAGGGGCAGCCAGGTCCGAAAGCACCCAAAGAACCACCTCTTAAAGACCGACTGAGCTGTCTTCAGACAGGCCCAGTCAGCTCCACCCTTGTGAGTTTGGCAAAAGCAGGAGGAAAATCCCCAACAACTCAAGAGCTAAGACAGGCCAGATATTTCTTCTAACAATCATAGAAATATAATTAACATAGGCAGAGGAACTATCGCAAATTCTCCAGATTTCCCCAGACCTTTCCCTGAAGTCTCAGCTGGAGCTGAAACACGGGTCTTGATTTAACCTGCAGGCACTGTGAGCTGCCCCTTACTGGGTGAAGAGATGCAGCCCACTGGCATCCTGGCCTCAGTTGTGTGCAGTGCAGGAGGGGAAGGACGGGCTTTCGGGACAACTGCGAAGGCAGCGTGAACCTGAACCTAAAAGCCCAGAATGAAATGTCGATCAATTATTTCTGGCTAAGCTGAAACAACTCTGACAAAGGTAACTACAGTAATGTCTCTGAAATGCTTCTGTCTGCAAATAATGTGATTCAAAACCAAAAGCATTCTGTAGAATTCTGCTTCTGGTCACAAACTGCACTTTCGGTGACAAACACAACCTCAGCCATCTTCCCCGCACAAACCAGGAACTACTAGGAAGCCAACAATATGCAATGTATTAATTATTGTAACTGTCATACTAACATGTTTTGAAACTGTTTCATTGCTATTTTATCTTTTTTGTCATTAAAATGAATATTCTTTTTTTTTTGAAACATGAATATTCTTTCCCCCACCTCACCCCCCCAGAACCGGGGATTGAACTCAGGCCCTTGTGCTTGCCAGGCAATCACTTATCCTACTGAGCCATTTCCCTGGTCCCTTATTAAAATGAAAAAAACCCACCATCCATAATGAACCAAACAGGGAAGTGAAAGCAGCTTCATTTGTTCTTCTCAACAACTGTTTTTCAAGGTTTCACACTCCTGATGTGAAGAAAAAGGAGCAGCACCATAACAGCTCTTGCTGGCAAACATACACCTCTAGCAGCGCAGGACCTCAGAGGAAGAACTTGTGCCCAGGACCCTCGAGCAGGGGCCAGGGCCATGCGGTGCCCACGGGAGACTCCTCTGTCCCTCCCTGTCTAGCCTCCATGGTCCCTTTCTCCCTGCAGTAAGCGGAGACACACGGAGCTCATCTCTCTGCCTCTGGCCTTTCTTCATGCAGGCTTCCAAGGAGCCCCTGTCACTAGGCACTAAAGGGACCATGACAGGACTTGGAGGGCTGTCCCGTGCTCTGTGAGCAGACGGTTCCTTCTCTGTCCAGCTTCCTGCATCACCCCTTGCTAGGAGACTGTCTTTCCTAATGTCCTTGGTGAAAAGATGGCACAAGTTTCCCTACTACATACTGTGTTTAGAAAAAAAGTCCCTGATCCCACTCAGAAGTCCTAGCCAGAGACTGCTGTGGTGAATCCTGGAGATGGCAGAGAAGTTCCAGGGTCAGAAAGGCTCGAGGGTCACAGGCCCGGCTGAGGACCCCACGCCTTGCCCAGCCACCCCGCCTCACCCAGCAACCCGGTGCCGCTCTACCCACCAAGGCACAGAGTGGCTCAGGGAAGGCAGACACTGCCCCACGCCCAGCACAGTGGTGGCTCACAGTGGTCCTCTGAATGACCACGTTGCCCAGGACAGCGCCACCAGATTAATGGGGGGAAGAGGGTGAGCTATGAGTGTTTTCTGGATTCTGAAGAACTGGAGGTCAGGGCTGGCCACATAACTCAGCAGATTAGGGCGCCTGCTTAGGCAGACACAGGGGCCAGGGGTTCAGTCCCTAGCATGCTGTGTCAGCCCTGCCCCTGGGGCTCGCTGAGAGGGTGATTGAGACTGGGCATGGTGGGGCAGCAATACAGCTCTCTCGCCCTTCCTGAAGGAGAAGGTGGGATCTGTTCAGGTGAAACAGAAACCAAAATCTGTCCCTTCCAAGAAACAGAAACTGAAAGCTGGTCTCACCAGAGTCCCTTCCCTGTGGGCTTGAGGAGACAAGACTCAGGTCCAGAAATATACTTAATTTTAACTTTTTTTTTTTTTTTGTCGTCATTTAAGAAGCACACGGCTTTATAGCACAGAAGCAACTGGAGCGGGACTCCAGTGGAAAGCACACCCTGCTTCAGCTCTTCCAGGACAGTGCACTGGGCAAAGGCTCCTTGGCCACTCCTTTGGAAAAGAGGAGGCTGCTGGGAATAGGTTACGACGTCTCAGGCACAATGTGCATCGAACTTTTCGTTCATTATTGCGCTCATCTTTCAATTGTCCATACAGGAAACACACTTACTTGGAAAGGAAGGGGGCAGTTTTTGCAGTCAAGTATTTACGTGTGGCATTCAGTGTGTCACATCTGGCTGCATAAGCAATCACAGCATAATTGTCCTCCGCCTGGACGTGTGGGGTGGGGTGGGGCATGAGGTTCTGGGGCTGGGAGTGCCCTCTCTTGCTAACCTACTGCTCATGGAAATTCCTGCTTGGCAGAGGAGGGCCCAACATCAAAGCACAGTTTCTTATAGAAAGAAAAGGAAGAAAAATGACAACTCAGTGCACTGACCCTTGAACTCCGGACTCCTCAGTTTCTTTGCCTGCTCTGGATGTTCCTTTCTCTTCTGCTTTATTTCTTGCTCTTGGTGGCCTTGTCCACTGTGGACTTCTCTGATGGCCTGCTGTCTCTTTGATCTGTGCTAGAGGGGTTTTCACCTTCTCCATCTTGGGCATGCTGGGCTCCTTTGAGAGGCTCTTGTCATCTGCCTTGGCCTTAGGTTTCTCCTCAGGCTTCTTGGCCTCGCAATCTTCTCCTCCTGGCATCTTTCTTTTCTGGAGCTGCCGCCGTCTCTTCCTTGTTTGCTTTCCCAGCTCCTTTTCTGTCAGCTTGCTGGGTTCTTTGACCTTGGCATCAAGCGGTTCAAGTGGCCGTCTCAGTCTTCTCCTTGGGTTTAGCCTCTTCCTTTACCTCCACCTTGGCGGAACCTCCTTCTTTGGGGTCACTGTTTTTTCTTTGTCCTCAACATCTCCCTTATCTTCAGCTTTGGATTCCTTGGGCGTTTCTACAGCAGCTTCCTTCTTTTCTCAGGCTCAGGCTTTGGCGCCTCATTTTTGTGTTTTTCATCTGTCTTGGTGTCCTTCTCAGTTGTCAGTGTGGCTGGAACCTTCTCTTATTCCACCTTCTTTAGTTTTCACTTCCTGGGGCTTCTGCTCCAAGGGGAACTTCACCTCTTCCTTCTTTGGGACTTCCTTCCCAGGGGCCTTGGCACCTCCTTTGCGGGAGATGTGATCTTCTCTGGGGACCTGACCTCGTTGACAGGGCTTCTGGCTTTTTCAGGGAAGTTGGTGTCTGCAGGGAACTTTGCTTCCTCCTCCACTGGAGTTTTGGCTTCTGGAGACTTCACTTCAAGAGGCTGTGGCTTTCTCAGGGGACTTTCCTTCTTCCTTCACTGGGGACTTGACCTCTGCAGGGGACTTGGCTTCCTCCTTCACTGGGGACTTGGCCTTCTCAGGGGACCTCAGCAGGTGACTTGGCCTCTTCTTCCTCGGGAGACTTGCTCTCAGCCGGAGACTCGACTTCCTTTTCTAGAGATTCTGCCCCAGGGTCTGGGGAGATGGCTCAATGGAATAAGCACTTCCCTGGCAAGCTCAAAGACCTGAGTTCAATCCCTGGTTCCGGGAAAAAAAGAGAGAGAGAGAGAGAGAGAGAGAGAGAGAGAGGAATCTGTGGCACAGCAGCCTGTCACCACCGCAGCTGATGCTCATCGGTAGCAAAGATTGGTTAACTCTTATTTAATAAATTATGAACTATAAGAAAAAAAAATCAACAATACTTACGAATTTAAAGTCTTCGTTTTTTCAGGACTGGGGACTGAACCCAGGGCCTTGCACATGGTGGATAAGTTCTCTACCACAAAGTTACGTCCCCAAGCTCAGATATTTGAAGTTATAAAATTATAATAAATTGGGTCAAGCAGTTTTGGATTCCACTTGTACGTTCTTCTTACTTCTGAGATGAAGCTGGCTCTGGTTACTACTGATTATATTATCAAGAATACAGCAAGCTCACTGTTAGGACAGTAGCCATTAAAAATTAAAATATGTAACTAAATCATGTCTGTAAACCCAGCTAACTACGAAGCTGAGGCAGGGGGCTCACAAGTTCAAGGTCAGCACTGGGCAATTTACTTTTTTTTTTTTTTTGTACCAGGGATCAAACTCAGGACCTTGAGTTGGCCAGACCAGGAAGGCACTTAAGCCACTGAGCTATCTCCCTAGCAGCACTGGGCGATTTAGCAAGATCCTGTCTCAAAATAAAGTTTTCAAAAGGGCTGGAGATTATAGTTTAGTGTTGGATCCCTTGCTTTACATGTGCAAGGCTGAGTTGCACCCAGTAGCACAAACACATAAAATAAATTATACTAAATACAAAGGTACTGAATACTCCAACTCACCACTTCATAATTATTAGACTAATTATTGGTGGTCATATGTATCACCAAGCAAGTGAAGTTCCCTTGCGCTTGCCAAAGAAGCACTTATTCTACTGAGCCATCTCCCAGCCCCGAATTCCAAAGTCTTTTTTTTTTTTTTTTTGGCAGAACTGGAGATTGAACGGGATTTTCTGATAGCAGTTCACACAGTGAAGTCACAGGTGCAGGAATTTTGCAACAAAGAATAATGTATATTGTAATCTTTGTAGTAAACTGCCATATATTTATTTCAGTAAAACTTGTAAGCTGTTTGTAACACTCTGATAATGACCTCCACCCAAGCAGTCAGTCAGTCAAACATTAGCCCGCATGCCACCAGTGGAGACATCTGGCAGTACAAAGAGACTCATGATTAAAAGATAGAGAAGGCTTGGCTGGGTGTGCTGGCAAAGACCTGGAGTCCCAGCTACTTAGGGGACTCAGATGAGAGGGTCCTGGGACTCAGGAACCTGAGAGCAGCACTGGCAATATAGTAAGACACGGGGGGCGGGGGGGGGGACAGAGAGGGCAAGGAGGACGAGAGAGGGAGAGAGCAGTCAAACCCATAGCCCAACACTTGCCGCACTTTGGATCTTTTTTAACTCCTCTGAGTCAAGGCGTCCACAGTACTCTCACCAGACAGCAGCTGCTAAGACTCATCAGAAGTGTAATGACAACGATAATAAATATTTACTGAGACTGTAAGGACTTGTTAGGGACAGGTGTGGAGCAGCTCAGGCAATCACAAGCCTGTCCCTCTGGCAGGGAGGGAGGTCCCCTCCTGCACACTGCTCCGCACTGCGCTCCCTCAGAGCCTGTGCAGGCAGGTGTAGACAGAAGCCTCAGGAGTGCTGGGAATACAGGCATACATTACCACACCCTGCCTCCCTACTTGCTCTTAAAACCAGGTCAGAAAATTGTCATGTGAGAGCTGCCCTCCCTACACAAAGAGAAAAGACATTTTTATAAAGGAGAGAAATCTGGGACTCAGAAAATTCTGTACTGGGCCAGTGAGATAGCTCAGCGACCGAGGCTGACGCCCGGCACATGACACGCCAGCCCTGCCCCCAGGGTGGGCTGAGCCAGTCACAGTCTGGGGGCATAGTGGCACATGCCTGCAATCCCAGTGCTGGGGAGGCTCAAAGTGGGAGGATGACCAGGAGCATGAGCTGCACAGTGAGGCCCTGCAACAACAAAATACA